TGATACCTGCTCCATTATCTCCTAATGTCAACCATTCCCTTTAATCGCACGAAATTCTAAAAAGCCGTATCAAGCGGCGGCAATCAGATGAGCTCTTGCAAAATTTTTATCGGCTTATCGTTGTTACCAGAGACTTATCACAGCGCTCAAACATAAGAGCACGTACTTCGCCTCAACCGAGAGGCACATCACACTGGACATTTAGCTGGTTGACTCGGCCGGCCATACTTTTTTCTGTGATTTGCTTCGTTTCCAGCGACGACTTCGGCGAACATCGGCCGACCGGACAAGATCCGCCGTGTAGGTCCGGCTGAAGTGGCGGATACTCGAACGAGCGGCAGAAAGTTTGGAAAATATGTTTGACCGCGCGGGTTTTTCCCGTGTGGACAGCCCTGCCCACCGGCAAATATTGAAGCACCCAATTTGGCCGGAGCTGGTCTTGTTCTGCGATTGATTTGTCAACGTTCTGGCACGGTTCTTGAACACCGTCTTCCGCCTTCCTGAATCTGCACTCTACCTCGCTATACAACCATTATCAGGGGTGCTGGAGAGTTCTGAAACCATTCAGCGATTTTGTTGAGCCCATTTTATAACATTTTGCTCCAATTGTGACGTCATCAGTCACGTGAAGACATGTACTGTACAGCTGCCAGGTCGCATTGCACAGGAGCACCGATTGCTGCTCAAATCGCTTCGATCCGACCACTTAACCCTGAGAAAGACCTCTGGGATAAACACTTTTTGCCTCGCGGCGCTCACCGTCGGCGAAATGCCTCAAGCAGCGCCGGACGCAGCATGAGTAAACCCCACGGAGCACCTGAAGCGTACATACAATACACAGACCTCCGAAAACACGTCCTCCCTCGGACCAAGCGCAGGCGCAGCGCCGCCAGCTCCAGCGCGAGCCTCCGCCCACCTGATCAACAACTAGGAAGGCCATACTAGGAAGGCCTTGGTGCGCTGCCGGCGGGATCCGCGCCAGGATGGCACTTGGCGCGCGGCCAATGTCACCTTGAGCGGCGGAGCGCTGGAAGCCGCTGAAATCCCTGGCCGATTGCGGCGATAAAAAACGCGCCGAGCCGCGGCATGCCCCCGGGCGGGGCGGCCGACCGGCGCGGCCGGGAGGCGGCGTCCCGCACGGCAGTTGACTCTGGTTGGTCGCGCAGGTAGGTGGTGTGGCCGTCTGCGCCGGCGCAGGTGCGCGGACGTTTGTTGCAACCATTTGGGTGTTGGGCACTGAGGGTGCAGCGGCCGCGGCTACTGACGCTGCCCAGGTGTTGTAGACCGCGTCCTTGCGCGCGTAACTGTCCGCTGCGCGTCACCGAGAGAACTGGGTTTGCCAAAATTTGGGTTTTGTGATGTGGCTTTATGGACCACCACATGCCCACGTTTTGGCGTGGGCCTAGTCCATCTCCTTTTCAGCTCCCGGTGGGCGTGTGGGAAGAGAATAAGATGAGCGCTTGCTCAAGGCGAATATCCCGGCTAGTGATTGGAAGGGGAGCCTTGGCCTTAGTATTTACATGCAGAGAATCATTCGCGGTGTGAAGTGTGGTGCGTGACTTGTTCCCACCGCCCCGGCGTCACCGCCCACATAGGGATTTGTGGGCTCTATTAAATTACGCGGGAGCTCAGGCGGTCGGCAGGGGTGCCGATGGTGATGGTGCTATCCGCACGTGCGTTCTCACACTAACACATGTCTGTAGGCTCATTTACTGAGTCTGTTTGCCCGAAGCTCCCGAGCCCCGGTCTTTGTGCCAGAGTCCGGGCAGTGCCCGAGTCCCGGTCTTTGTGCCAGAGTCCGGGCAGTGCCCGAGTCCCGGACAATGTCTGAGTCCCGGACATTTTGTCCTAGGCTCGGGCATTCTGCATGCACCGCAGTGGACCGCCCTATCGTGTGTGTGGCATCAACCAAGTAACTCTGTGGGCTAGAGAAGATATGACCCGTTTTTTGTGCGTGTTGTTGCAGCTGTGATGTGACGCGGGAGTGCTCTTACCATTTAAGGAAATGTTCACCTTCAAAGATATCAAAACAATCATTGGTATATATGACAAAAGCTTACCTGTAGCTACTACGAAATGGAAAAGACTGTTCCAGACAACCCAATTCCTCTGTTTGGTGACGCTCCTCAATGCGCCATTGTTTGACTGCGTTATCATATCTTGCAAAACAACGATTGAGGGCCATTTGGCAGCTGTTACATCTGGAAATCATGCTCACGAACGCCATATATGAGCCAATGCACAATTATATCGGTCTTGGTCTTGATCACTGCATGGCTACCATGACAGAATTTGAATTGCGTTATATTGGCGTCATAGGCGCATGGGTGACTTTGAAATAGTCTCCCGAAATAGTCTCCACATCTCCGCGGGCGGGTAGCTCAGAAACTAGAGAGGTTTAGGTCTACGGAGGCCAGGGCTGTGAACTGCGCGGCGTGATCTTCAGGGTGGCGGTCTCAGTTCGAAACCCCATACAGATATGGAACGCGCGCTTTGATTGGGGCACGGAGATGCGATGAATGGTGGTGGCGCCGACGTTTTGCTATGTTTCTTTTTTGAAAGATCGTGGAGGTTTCACAGAATTTGTTGAATTTAAAAAAGAAAGTCACAGAACGTGGGAAAGTGCTCAAATCTGATTTCGCAACATTGCAACACAAGTTGCCACACACATTGCACGCACGCTTGTCTTTTGCGGTGTCTGGCTTGAGCTATATGCCGTAAAATATTTCGGATGGTGCAAGATCGCAAAATGTTGCAACCATGCTAGGTAATTTTTCCTGTTCCCCAAGTTGCCAACGCTGGAATTGATCTCTCCTGTCAGTCTTCAGTCTTCAGTCTTAGGATGCATTCTTCGAAATGATCTTTAAAATGCTATACGAGCGAAGTGAATAAGCATGTCTGTCTGCATGTGTTTGTGTATGTATGTATGTGCATCTGCATTTATTCTGTATAGGTAGAAAATATGCCCTTTGAAGATACTAAACTCACAACCAGTTGTGGTGGCACTGACGTAGAAGCTGAACCGTGTCCTCATGGTTTATCTATCTCTTTCTGTGAGTTGTTTGCCCTTCATCCAGCAATATGTATGCAAAATGCCACGTTTGACATAGACCGCTCAAGGGTCTGATAGAGCTTGATCGCCGCTGCACGAATGATGCACCAGACTCACTAGCTGTGGCTGTTTTTTTGTCGTTAAGTCTGCTGACGTGTAGATGCCTTCGTTGGAAGTATCCGTGATTACTTAAACGTTAAGGCAAATGCAGTTTCAACGAGTCCTTGCGTCATTCGCCACCTTCAACGCGATCACTAATGCACTGCTGTGCTATCTGCGCTGCCCTGGCCGCCCTGGGGGCTGACTGGAGATCAGGGTGCGACGCGGCAGCGTTATTCGGATTAGTAACGGTACCCGGCTGCTGTTCAGGGTCGACGACCGCCTCCGCGTCAGTGACCTCGCGCGTCCACCTCCGGGTCAAAGTAGCCGTGGGACCTAGCGTCTTCTCGTCAGTCAGTTGGGTGCCGGTAGTATAGTGGTTAACGCGTCTGCGTTTAATGCGTGTCCTGGGAAATCAGAGGTGCGGGGTTCGATTCCCGCGGTGCCCGCCCTCCCTGCCATGGTGAGAGGCAGGCGACGCCATATAGGCTCACCAGCTGAATGCGTCGTAAAGCCCCAACGACACACAAGTCTTTCGTCCGGGGGTGAGAAGAGTGCGCGTGTCCTCCGACGCGCAGCGAGAGATTGTCATGAGTAATGGTCGGTCGCATTGGCGGTCCTGTTGCCAAATGCCACCCCTAAACTTTTCAATGGGTGTGGTTGTGTGGCTACATAGGTTTGTCGCTGATAGGTGACTTAGTTCGATTCCCTCGCAACGTGCATAAACAGCCATTTCCAGACCACTTCAAACGCACCTCTGTCCCCCCGCCAGGAAACTATAATGCAGCTGCTGTTGGTGGCGACGGTGGCGCTCAGCGCCACCATGGTGGCAGGATATAGCATGCGGGAATTCGAGAAGGGTAGCTCGCAGGAGACGCACGCGTGTTCGACGCTGGTGCCGCTGCAACGGACCCGAGCGGAAGCCGCCCAACAGCGCCTACCAGCTGTCGGCATCCAGGCTCGCCGACGGCAGCGTCCTCAGGTGCGACGTGCGTTTCGGTTTTCGCTGGTGGAGACAGCAAAGACAGCTTAAGCATCGTATATTGCGTGTTTCACGGCGTTCATTGGACAACCGGGGGCAAGAGTTGCCTTGCGGATGTGAACATTGCGCCTGCTAAAATTTTTAATAACTGGCGATAGATTAACCTCTGCAACCGCCAACTGGTATCATTGCAAAAAAGGCGTATGTTTCGGTTCGGAATTCGAAGTTCTTGTGCTGAAAGTGCATGCCCTTGAGTATACAATGATGTCCATATTTAAAGAAGGCATGAGAGAACTTAAGTTAATCTTAAAATACTAATGTTAGAATACTACCTTTTGTCTTTTGAAATCTTTTGAAAATATTTAATATTTGCAGCAGTACTAAGTCACCACTGGAAATGAGAAACATTTTAGTAACACGTATTTCATTGCTTTACTTATTTTTACTAAATCACAAAGGTTGCATAATTGCAACGCACCAGTTCCAACTGGAGTAGGATCGTGAGTTTTCGATCATATGTACCTGTGTGGATTATTTTTGCCCGGTTTCCAAAACTTAACGCATATTTAAATTCCACCAAGTCAAGGCGCCTCACTGCAAAGCCTGGACCCCCTTCTCTTTGTTGAATGTTCGTGAAATAACCAGAAGTCTGGCAACATTGAGTTATTTGATCCTTCAGAACTGTGGATTAGGAAAATCCTCAGAGCGCTGTTAACGTCGCCACACTCGCTACACTCGCTACGTAGTCGTTACACACAGTCGTTACACTCGCTACGTAGTCCATCACAGTATATCGCAAATTGGAGCCGTCCAAAATACAATGTCCTGCGGCCGATGAAGCCGGTTGAAGTGTTCACCCCCACGCGGCAGTGAAGCTGTCTGGATCGCAACCCTTCAAGGGCTTCATCATACAGAGCAGCGGTCCGGCTGGCGAGTTTAGCTTCGGGTCCGACGCGATCAAGGTCGGCTGCTCCCAGGTGAGGTGATGAGGTTCAGGTGGGCCAGCGTCTCATCAGCGAAAAAGACGGCGCTTTCCGCTGAAGTGACGCGTGTTGTGCCCGACGTTAGGCTGATGCATCTTCCCGCGGATGTTGACTGGAGAACGTGTTCCACTCGTGTGGCTGCAGTGTTGATGGCTGACTGGAACGTGCGACGGACGTCTTATGACCACTAGCGCCCGGCGAGGGCCTCAGTGGTTGAAGCGCATAAGCCCGTAGGCTAGGTCGCTCCAGCCGGCTGGCGTCGCGGTGTGTCCGCTAAGAGCCAGCGGTACATAGGTCGGCAGCGGTCGGCGATGCATAGATTGGATTGGGTTGGTCGGTGGCTGCGTGCCCCATTCGCGGACGACCCGGACGGAAGGGCACGCCACTCGGTCGGAACCTGATGCCGGCAACTCTAACCCGCTGCCCCCCCCCCCCCCCCCACAGGCCACCATCCGTCACAAAAACGCCCTTCCTAAGACCTCCGTCTCGGCCACGTGGAAGCCGTCTGGGAGCGGCACAGTCTCCTTCAAGTGAGTGCTCGCGGGCGTAGCGACCCTGACTGCGGCTGGCTGCTGCGGCTGGACCGGGACCTCGTTACCGCGGGGCACGTCAACGGGGCGAATCCTCGGTTCGGCGGCCTTTTGAGCATTTTTGGTGGCTGGGTTTGTGTGCTGCTGGGTCTGTGTACTGTTTGCCGGGGAGTGTCGACGTGCGTTCACTTGAAGCGCGGGCTGCGGCAGTAGTATTTGTACTTAATTAAGTATATATACTAAGTAAATATATATATATATATATATATATATATATATATATATACATATATGTATAATACTTGTATTAAGGTCGCAGTGTGTAGATTGTCGTCACGCACTGATGCCACTTTGACCACAAGGAGCCCAATCGTTGCATTGCCAATGCCTTATCCTGTTTTCAGGCACTGCTTCTTGGGCATCTGCCCATCTTAAAATGCAAAAAAGCAAGCGATTTGTGTGCGCTTGCGAGTGCTCGGGGCTATTCAAAGGGGATTGTTTACCTTGCATGTGAATGCTAATATAACTCGTCTGATCTTTCAGGGGAACTGTTGTCGAAGATTTCAAGAACTTTTACGAGCTGAGTGCCGTGTCTGCTTGAGGTAATTTATTTTGGGGAAGTTTGTTTCCTATGTCACATCTTTCGTAGATTTGTTAATATTTTCGTAGTCTTTATTACTTGTTTGATCCAAGTGACCAGACTGTGACAAATTATGTAATTGTCAGTGCAGTGCAGATGTAGCCGTACTAGTGCAGAGATTAATCATGCCTGGAGGCTATATGTGAAGGGTGCATTTCTGCGTGCTGTTAAAGAGTTTTTGACAATGAAAGCGAAGCAGAAACGGTTTTCTTGATGTCGCTTCGTTTAAGCCCTGAAATACGTCCAACTATTTTCAGGGAAGATCAGCGTGAAGTAACACAAGCTCATTGCCACGTCAACGGATTTCAGAACTTGCTGGCACGAAAGTCGTACTATATCTCGTGAACACGAGGCCTTGGATGCTGTATAAGACGAGGGAAGCGGGTTTATTTTATCTGTATTCGGTAGTGGTAACAGTGAAGTTATAAAGCTGGCCCGCTAGGCCTGTTAGGCCCGTTAGGCCCGCTAAGTATACTTTAGGCGCGAGGCCAGCCACCTTCACTCGTGGTCCTTTTCAATCGGCGTCTCTCACGATGTTGGTATCTTCCTTTCACGGCTGACATCTGGCAATGAAAGGTTGTCCCATCGCCTGAGTTCATCGTCAAGTCGTAACAGCAGTGGCAAGCCACCGGAAGAGCGATGAACATTTTAATTGATTTTTCGCATTGCCGGTAGATTTTATTAAATCATTTAAAGTAGGGTGGTGTCTTGCGTTTTATTTGTGTTTCGTTAGCACAGTAATAAAACGATCATGGCGTCCTGAATAAAAACAATGAGGTGTGAAATATCTACGAGTTATGGTGTGGTTTGGTGGGCGGCTCTGAGTGACGAATACCCGCCACTCGGCTCCGGCTCCTGCTCCGGCTCCTGCTCCGGCTCCTGCTCCGGCTCCAGCTACGACGGCCCCCGCCTGCTCCCTGTGGTCGGTGCACACTGTACCGATCTGAAGATACGCATGTCGTCGTCACCACGGCACAGTCCAATCTCTAATTGCCGACGCCGCCGCTAGTTTTCCACGCTGCTTTTCGATGGGCTCTGCATCAACACATGCCTGAAATGTCGCGATATCGTGGAGAAAAATGAAGGCAAAACAGAGCAACTGCACACTTAAGCATCTTGCGCCGTAGCTCGATACCTTTTGGCTTCGGTGGATAAACATGCCTGGAGCCACGGCACCCCGACACGTCACGCAATGTCCCGTTGAAGGATTTCAGAGGAGCGCTTTATTTGGTCCCAGATGCGTTTAATTTGCCCCACTGGCGTATCGGAGGAGACGCGACGGGACCGTGGCTCCCTGGTATCCCAGTGCGCCCCCAAATTTAGCTTTAAGGCACGTACTCCGAATGTACGCAGGTGGTCAATGTGTCCCATGACGGGAGGCCCTCGCAGTGATTAGAGGAGCGTACAGGGCCCGTACTGGCTTTTTGGGGCTCATTACTTTGAAAGGGCCCTCTCTAGGCTTCTGCAGCGATTTCAATGAACGTGCAGGGCCCGTACTAGTTTTTTGGGCTTATTGTTCTGAAGAGCCCTCCCCTACCGGCCCACAAGTGATCTTTGTTGGCATTCGAAAGGAACTTCTCCTTTTGGCTCGTCAAGGTGCCCTGCTGGCTATAAGACACCCTCCACTGCCTTGTACAAGGGCTCTGCTGGCCGCAAGAGACCTTCCGCTGGCTTGTAATTGGATCCTGCTGGTCCCAAGAGACTCTCCGCTGGTTTGTACAGGGCCCCTGCTGGCCCCAAGAGACTTGCCGCTGGGTTGTAAAGGATACCTGCTTGCCCCAAGAGTATCCGTTTGCTTGTAAGCGGTCCCGACTGGCCCACATAGATACTACCGCCGTCCTGAAAAGTCAAGGGCACCCGCCAGCAGGAGGAGCATCATGGCAGACAGACACAGGACCCTGCCGGTGCAGTGGGTCCTTTCGCAAGCCGGTAGAGTGTATCTGAGCGGCACACTAGCGGCCTTTTACAGACCGGCAGAGGAGCTCTCCACGGAGGCCGACAGCAGGGGCCCTCTCCAAGTGATCCAAGTGGGCAGTGGGCCCCAACAGACTAGTAGGTAGGTGCCCCTGAACGCTCCCTCGGGAGGGTAAAGGGGGGGGGGCTTGCCCCATAAACACCCTTGTTGACCTGTGAGGGGCATCCATCAGGATGGCAGTTGCATCCCCACGGTTAAATGAGAACTCCGTAAAAAGACGCCCGTCGGCCAGCAAAACTCTGTATCCACTTTCAATAGGGCCTCACTAGAGTGTAACAGGCCATCAAGTTAAAGACCAGAGGATCATTGTAATCCGGCGGGGTCCATAACAGTTAAACATGAGGTTGCCTGCATGCTGGCGTGGCCTGCTTCAGCGGGTCCCTGTTTGCTTATAAAGATGCCCTTGCAGACCAGAAAGGACCACCCGACGGGTTGTTGGTGAAGCCTCCCGTCGACAAACAGACTGGTTCTCTGCCTGTCGGTGTGTTCTTGTGGATTCTTGTGGATGTGGGTGGGTGGGAACCTGACAAAGTGGGTTCCGGGCTATCTGAACATCCCGCGGCATATAAAAGGGCTCTTGCATGCCGGAAAAGTGTACGCAGACATACATGCATGTCACTTTGTTTTTTTGTTTTTGTTTTGGTTGTCTAGTAAAAATTCTTTAACTGTCTTCCCGTCCCATCGCACACGGCGGGACTTCATAGCATCGCAAACCAGAGACGGTAAATGCAAGCGTACGTCTCCCAGGTAGGATGGCGGTGCGATGTTTGGGGGGTATGGAAGCGGTACGTCCAGGGAGGTTCGGGGTCTGCCGTAGGTCCATCGTCCTCTCCACTCAGACCAGATCTTTCGAGTCCATCCGGGACTGATCTCGACTGCGATGTTTGGGGGTATGGAAGCGGTACGCTTCCAGGGAGGTTCGGGGTCTGCCGTAGGTCCATCGTCCTCTCCACTCAGACCAGATCTTTCGAGTCCATCCGGGACTGATCTCGACTGCGATGTTTGGGGGTATGGAAGCGGTACGCTTCCAGGGAGGTTCGGGTCTGCGTAGGTCCATCGTCCTCTCCACTCAGACCAGATCTTTCGAGTCCATCCGGGACTGATCTCGACTGCGATGTTTGGGGGTATGGAAGCGGTACGCTTCCAGGGAGGTTCGGGGTCTGCGTAGGTCCATCGTCCTCTCCACTCAGACCAGATCTTTCGAGTCCATCCGGGACTGATCTCGACTGCGATGTTTGGGGGTATGGAAGCGGTACGCTTCCAGGGAGGTTCGGGGTCTGCCGTAGGTCCATCGTCCTCTCCACTCAGACCAGATCTTTCGAGTCCATCCGGGACTGATCTCGACTGCGATGACCATTGCTACTCTCCAAGCAAGTGCATGAGACGTGACAGGCGGCTTTGTAACGAACAGAAAAAAACATTAGCAATCCGATTAGTTTCGCCTGCTGGATACCAGTCCTTCCTATTTTCTGGCTCCAGGGGCAACGCTGTGTACCTGGAACAGGTCGTATTTAATTGAGATTAAAAACAGTTGAAAACTGAGTCACCTGGATGCTCTAAGACATGGGACATAACCCACCACCCATATGAAGCACCGTTGTACGCCATAAAGTAACCTTAACCACATGAGCTTCATTGCTTAAGAGGGCCCGCTAGTCCAACTTGCGCTCCCCTCCACCCAAATCCCACCTACGCCACCGGTATTGCTCACCTTCCACATCAATTCTCGTTTTACGCCGCATCATTTCAATGGCGTGCCGCTCCCCCATTAGCTACGAGAGCCTCTGATCTGACTTCCGATCCTCTGATCCGACTTCTGATCCTAAGACGAGGATCGTGGAGTGCTACCCTTTTGATGTGTTCCATGGGGCAAAACGGCTGGTCAAAGAAGGGGGGGGGGGGGCGAGATATCCATGCCGATCCATCCAGATCCATGTCATTCAACTGCGTTTTGTGACCATGCTTAATCCTGACCTTGAAGCCAGAGGTCTGCTGACTCGTCAAACAGGATATGATTCATCTTTAAGTGGTAAGCTCACCACTCATCATATGTGTTGGGCTTACAAGTGAATTCCAACAAGCCATCTTCCTCAGGCTGTATCAAAGAGGAAACCGAGAAACAGTGGTCTTAGTGAGTCATAGTTCTAAGTACCCGTGCGCTGAACCCCATATCACTAAAGACAGATCACGTTTTGTTGTCAACGTCACTTTCGTGGAAACGACTAATCTGGTTTGAGGAAGACACAAAATCCTGCGTATTTTGACGACTTCCCTGGGCAGCCATGCCCGACTCTCCATACGTTCCGCCACCTACGTCCCGTGTTGCCCCATTATCTTTCTGGGTTTGGCCTGTCGACGGGCCAAGAAAGCATAGTCTATGTATAGATCCTTCTACCGCAGCAAGAACGCACGTGCGAGAGCCTCTTTTGACGTGTACCGATGGCACATTTCCCCCATATATTGCAAAAAATAAACTCCCATTTGTTTTGCTGTTCTTCGCCAGAACCTGAAGACTTGAGGGTAGTTTCGCCAGAACCTCAAGACTCAAGGGTAGTTTCGCCGGAACCTCAAGACGTAAGAGTAGTTTCACCAGAACCTCAAGACTTAGGAGTAGTTTCACCAGAACTTCAAGACTTAAACCTGCATTGTATCGGCCAGGAGCCATATAGTTTCATGACGTTGGCTTAAACGGACGGGTCCCACCTGGAAGATTTTGTAATTCCTTTCTACTGCACCAAGAAGACGAATCTTCCTCCAAAAATAGCTTTTGAACCCTCAACATTGTTCAGCAACTCAAATTGAAGATTGAAGATATCAGGCCAACAGACGCAAGGGCTCATCGGAACTGGCCTACAGCAGGTTCTGCACCCATCCTTGACACTAATCTTACCACCTGACCTGCCCGAATTTAGCTAAACGTGAGGTCCTTAGACCGACAGAACTTGTCCAACCGATTTTTAAATGTTGCCGGAGGGAGACTTCCTACAGCATTGTTTGTTACTCCATCCCAATGATTCGCTACTCTATGAGTAAATGACATCCGCCTTTTTATAGTTTTCCTACCTTTTGCTCATTAAAACTTATTTCCTTTAACTCTCAGCCTAATTTTCAGTGTTTCTTGTAGATCTACCTTATCTATCCCTTTCATAATATCGAATATCTCTATCGAATCCTCTCTAAGTCTATGATGTTTCATTGAATACAAATTCAAAGCCTTAGCCTGTCATTATGCTCTAAGTTGCCAATCCCATTTTTCATCCTGGTTCCTTTTCGCCGTATTCTATCCAGTTCATCTATTTTTTTATTTTTTTTTAAAGCATGATGACCAAGCCCGTACACAATACTCTAGGCGTGGTCTGACATAAGCCAAGTACATTCTTCAACAACATTCCTTTTTCGTAATGGACATTCTTGTTAATAAGCCCCAGCTTCAAAAGTGTCCTGCTATTAACAGCCCTCCATTGCTTTTCATCCTAACAATCCTCGGAAATTGTGATCTCTATTTTTTTTTCCTCAATCTGGTTCAACCCTCGGCCTCCAATTTTAAAGATAGTGCTGCCACCGCCAGAACTACCCATATCCATCACCTTACACTTATCACAATTGAACAACATCTGACACAGAGAAGCAAAAGTGTAAGTTCACTAGTTTCTCTAAGTCCGGTTTCAACTGGTCTGCATTTTTCGACCCTCCTCTTAATTTAGTGTCGTCAGAAAATTTAAGCACCCAAAAAATTATGGACTTTTTCTCTTGCAGCTCTTTATCACAACGTAACTGATATTAAAAATCCCAAGCAACTCGTAAATTGATGA